GTGTGAACACCCTTCAGATTCCTGTGCGCAGCTGCAAAAAAAAGCCGCTCTTATCCGCTCTTCTGGCCAGCCTTGAAGGTTCTGGAGGCAGTTGCAAGACCGGTGCAGGTTCTTTAGCCTCTCGGAGGATCCCACACGACGGCATATGGCAAATCGGAGGAAGAGATAGATGGGGGCCTGGATCTTGAGGAGGGGTCAACGAAACTCAGAATGAAACAAAGAGTAGGGATTGAGTGCAGACTTCTCATGCCTCAGGTGTCAGGTATCCCTTCCCATGCCTCAGACTTCTCTTCAGTCTTCTTTCTCTGGGCTTCCATCTCTTGGTACTCTGCTTGCAAGCGGGCACATTCGGCCTGGCTGTGAACACGAGCTTCCTGACAGCCATAACCTTGGCTCTCCTCAAGCAGCCTAGAGAAGAACTCTCTTCCAAAACGCCCTTTGTGGGTTTGACCACTTCTCTCAAAACCTTCTATCCCTTCCTCAAGCGCAGCGGAACACCCCTGCTGTTCCGTCTTTGTGCGGGTCGTGACCCAAGAAAAAAAACAGCATCCCGCGACCTGCCACTTGCGGTGAAGCTCTTGCCAATGGAGAAAGTCCTCATCCGCAACAGATGTCACTCCACATGCCAGGGTTGCCAGGGTTCAAGGAACACCCTGGGTAGCAGCGATTCTGGATGGCTGAGTTTGTGTCTGTATTACTAATATTATTATTTATATATATATATATTAGATTTGTTGTAAAAATCGACCCTTTTTTTGGATTCGACTCTCCTCTCACCATTGCCGTCCTGAGTGAAGCGCTGGGCAGACTGCCACACCTGGAGGGACACCCAGCTCCAGTGAGTCCAGTCGAAGGGAAACATCCTGTTGTCCAGCTCCAGTGAGTCCAGTAAAGCCCCAAGTCTCGGCGGCTGGACTTGGGAGGTGAAAAACAAGGGGGAGAGGAGTGGTCTCGACGATGGACCGATGGACGTCTCGTCGCCCGGCACAAGCTCCATCCCGGATGGACAAATGACCATGGGCAAATCGTGAAAGTTTTGTTGGGGGGATTGGGGGGGGTTGGGGCATCGCGGATCTCAGTTGAAAGACATGATTTTGTTGGGGGCGTAAAAAAAGGAGCCTTACACTGCACTGACTCCAAATCTGCGGGAACTGTGTCGCGGCTCGCCCCCTTTTCCGATGGCAGGCCGACCAAACCCCGCGAGTCTCTCGCGGTGACCTGATCCGCTCTCTCCGCTGCTACATCACCGTCCTCCTGAGGCGACACGCTTGGTAACTGTCGCCGCGTGTCCAGTAAGTGTCTAAAGGTCAGAGAGATGCGACAATACTCCGTGCCTCTCTTCAAGGTGCTCCCATCACGCAGGTGAACCAAGCGAGAACGTCGGATGCCGTGGCGGTAGGCATAGCGACTTTCTCCCTGAAGCACCAGCAAACTCCGAGGCTCCAAGAGGATCTTCACCCAATTCCCATGGTCCACGCCATCGCCGGGCGCCTCGCGGGAGTTCTTCACCTCCGAGGCCAACGAGAGGGTCAGCTGCACCGGCTGCAATAAGGAAAGCGTCGCCAAGTTGGGGCCGAAGGACACGGGATCTTCCACGTGCGCGGCAATGCCACCGGTGCCAATGTATCGATTAGCAGCGACTTGATTGATTTCTTGCTCACCAAAGACGCCAGTGCTCACCAGTCGACTCAAAAGCCACTGAGGCAAATCCTGCATCGGACGCCCTTCTTGAAGCTCTTTCTCGGCAGGTTGGAGCGCCACTACGTCATGTGTTGTCTGGTAATAAACCAGCCCAAAAAACTGTTGGGCTCGAATCAAGTTTTCCAGCCAGGGTTTTCCATTGACAGCTGCCAGCAATTCCTCGGCGGTCACTGCCACATATTTTGCGGCTTTGTGAGTTTGTGTTTCTCTTGGAGGGTAGTGCAACACATATAACAGTCAGAAAATAGAGTGAGCTTTCGAAACATTCACCAACTTTGCTCCTTTTCCGTCTGCCCAACTCACCCTGTCCAAGCTCTATCTCCTACGGTTCTGTCTGCCCCATCGCACCGTTTCCGTTTCCGAGGTGTTCGCCTCCTCCTCCTCTTCGGAGATGAAGCTCGCCGCGTAGCGCAGGCCACCCGGCAGCTGCGCGCCGTGCTTCGGCCCCAGCTCCACCGCCGGCGGCGACCAGACGTCCTCGGCCATGGCGCGAAGACACGCGGAGTAAGGGCGTGGCGTTGTGTCTGCCCAATCAAGGCAAAGAGGTGGTCCAAAGCATTGACCCTGAAGGTAACGGAAGATGGCAAAAGGGCTAGATGGCTGATACTCTTGATGTGGTCACTGAACTCCTCAAAAGTTGTGTATGTTGATCATTCTGGCCTGCCTTCCAAACCGTGGAACGCAACTGTTTCATCGCTTCAAACCGACTTTCTCTTTCAGTCCAGCTCAATCAACAACCTTTCATCTGAAGCTCAAAGGGCTGCGATGTTCGAATTCATCAAGTGCCCGTTCGAATTCTGTGGCACCGGCATTGCCCCACACACACACACCCAAGCTTGGTCAGTTTGTGCCCATTCCAGTGAAAATGAAACCAATAAACACAACCGTCGCCTTGTGAGGGCGTGAAGAACAATCTCATGGTTTGGTCGGTTTTGACTTTTGACAAACATTGATTTGAAGCCTTCAGAAATATCCCTCAACGAAAGAAACAAGTAACCACCAACCTGTAAGTTGAAGCAATTCCCATTTTGAGCCACATACCCCCGTCTTTGGTGCAGGCATGCAAACGCATGCTCTTCCTTTCAGGTCCAGGCGCCTCGTTCAGCTTCATGGCAGCCTTCCGTTGACCCTCATCCACAGAAAGCTCCTCCGGAAGTCTGTCGAAAGTACGTCGCGTAGAGGCTGCTGGCAGGGTGTTCCTCTGCAGGGGATCCTTACTGTGCTTTTCAATGCCCGATCCGAGATGAGCAATGTTCCTGAAAATAGACATGTAACACCCCGTGATGGTCTAGCATTGTAGAGAAGCCCAGCCAACCCAGAACAAAGCTTCACTGCCAAGAACTCACTAACCCATGACCTACTGAAAGGTATTCTCTATTAAACTTTGAGACTCCGTGTACTATGCGCAGGGGTGAAAACCCTGTGACTGCACCACTGCAGCTCATCGTGCTGGGTGTCCTTGTGCTTGGTCAGCAATACGAGCGCCTCCAAGGGTCCCGCCTGGCAGGGAAAAGCCCATTCGCACAAGCAACCCCCCAGTCCTCCCAAACAGCACCCACACCTGCTCCTAGTACGGATGCTTTTTGTTACTAGTAGCTTCTAGTTAGTAGCGATGGCCTCCAACCTACTTGCGATGCACCTGGTTTGAAGGGTAGAAGACCCCAGTCGTTGTGCAAACCTGGTCGAGTCATGACCCCTGTTCTAGGCACATCGATGCAAAAATCCTTCAAGGCCCGACATGCAAACATCATCAGACATCACTCAGGGATGAAAAGAGCGGCAAGTTGGCCAAAATCTGGACTGTCAAAGAGCCAAATCAATCCGGTGATGATTCCCGACCAAGTCATCTGAGTTGCTTTGAAGCAGGGCCTGCGCAGCTGTGGAGACATCATGTAGACGTCCAGGTGCCAAGCCCAACCGCAGCAAGCCAGGCCTAGACATCTGCAGGAACCTCTCCTGTGCCATTCTCTCCTACACCCCCACGACAAACTGTGCGACAAACTGTAGAAGGATGGACATTCCCTCTTCACCTGAGGTGGGACATCCACAATCCAGGACTGGGGTAGCATCGTGAATTTTAAGTAAAGCAGGCATGCAGCATTCTCCTCCAGATTTCGGATGTGTTTCCAAGTGAGCCATTCGCTTGTGAGCAGCACCCACAGCTGACGAAAGTGGGCCCTGTGAAGCGCACACCAAACTTGGAGACATGCACTAGCAAGTGTCTTGGAAACTTCCGCATCTTGCAGCTCCCTTGGCTCCAGAGCTCCTAACCAGCTAGTACATACGAGTAGTTTCTTTTGCTCCCCTGGTGTTGAGCCACATGTGGCTCGAAACGAGCCCTGAGGTCCGGTCGGCAGAGTGGACGAAACGGCCTAAGAGGAGGAACCAAAGGTCCAGGCACGGCATCTGAACATGAACTTCTACAGTATGTGCTGTGCCCTGAGATATATGAGACACATCTTTCTTCATCCTGTCCAGCTCAAAACCTTCATTCAAACCCTTCTAGGCTTTATTTCTCCGCTGTCTGAAGTAGTGCCCCAACCCCAGGAAGACCTCTGTTTTTCAAACCAAAACGGGTGACAAAAGAAACAGCTTCCCACTAAACCCATATATACACGTCAAAATGAGCTGGCCAGGCGCCCAGGTCGTCCGCCACAACATCGTTCGCCCACCGACCCCCTGTGGCACCCAGCTCGTGCGGCCGTGGGCAGAGCCATGGGGTCGAAAAAAAAGGCTGTCACTGCTTGACAAAGCTTTGTCAATAAATGATGATAGGAAAGAAAGAATATGCATGATCCAATACGTTCCATTATATATAGCACGAAAGCGAAAATATTGGTGAATGAATTGCCAGACCAGCTACCAGCACCAGCGCTTGTTGCGAACCGGTCATGCTAAACTGACATGGCAGCTACCATGACACTCTTCATAGACATGTTTTGAATGTGTGAAAGGTTAGTAAACCTAGCACTGACATCTACCTGAGACTATCTCAGGCTCATGGATAGCTATCAGTCATCTTTCCGCATGTTTGTTCCTGTCCAAGCTACGTGTCATAGAATCGAAAGCCTCAATGGCTGTGCCAAGGCGCAAAGAAAAAATAGAAACATCAGCATCCCCCAAGGCACAGTGTGCTCAGTATGTCCCAGTGCTGAAACATCGGCCTTGCTATTGGTAGGCGGAAATGACGGTATTTCTGCTAAGTTGATCATCCAAACTTTGAGGAACTGCACTTCCAGTCACTAATTAGAAGGCAGGTCAATGACCATGAGATCCAATAAGGTACAGCATTCCAACGCCTCCCATGAGGTAAAAGCAGTGGTTCCACACCACCACTGCGTGTCCCGTTCGAGGAGTGTACACCTCACGAGGCAGGCCACAACGCTCTGTCACAATCCTCGTTACAAAATGTGTCGAGTGAGTCGAATGACAACCCTCTGCTAACAAGTCGTAGACACTTTTTGGCTGAATTGGGAGCCATCAGGATGGCCCATTCTTCTCACCAGACTGACTCATGGGTAGGGTATTTCCTGGCCGCAGATCGCGGGGGCCGCCTGTCCCTGCTGGTCCTCAATGCGGGTCCAACCTGACAAACTGGCAGTGTCCTGTCATCGGTGTCCCCTATCTTCATAGAAGACTCAAATGAACAATTGTAAACTGTGAAGGGAGTAATGGGTAGCTGAAAAGCATCTTCTCTCAAAAAGTAGTTTGTGGCTTGGAAATCTCAGGGCCCGGCACCACAAATCCTCTGGCATCAGAGTTTGAGCTGCATCCTGCGCGTCTCCCACCGCACCAGTGCTGCTGGGCATGCCGCCTGGCCCGCCAGATGGGTCGCCCCTTCATGGCAGATCTCATTGGACAGAATTCTCCAAAAAATTAAAAAGCGTGGAAACGTGGAGAAGTGTGTGTCAGTGGATGTCAACTAAACCTAAACATGATGAACGAAGACAGGATTCTCTCTTTACTTTCAAATGGGAAGTTGGGCCTTCTTCAGCGCCAACATGCCTGTGCTAGAAAAAACTTCCGCTTCGGAACAGTGCTCCGATGGGCCCTCCCCATCAAGTCTTCTAAATGTTTCAACTGGTCAAGCATCCCAAGACTCGAAAGTCAAACATCCTCAGTTGTGCTCTGGCACAACCTAAGAGCGATGGCCTCCAACCTAAAAACGCAGTGTGCCTCCAACCTAAGAGCGCTACACCTCGGACGGAGGGCGCCTCCAGTGGGCACCGGAGGGCTCGACACCTGGCGGAAGGAGCCACAGAGCGTGGCGAGCTGACTGGACGACAGGCGGGAGCTGCCCAAATGGATGCTTTCTGGATGGCCCATAGGTCTCTAAAGGGAATCAACTTGTTCTTCCCAATAGATATATCTTTGGACACTAGACACTACCAGTAGCTTGAGAAAAAGAATCAAATTGGTAGCAGATCTAACATTCAGCCCAGCCTGATCTGCTAGCTGCTTTTGACAGCGTTGCAACTCTGACTTGGTCCGCAGCAGAATGCGATACCTCAATCACAGGGCAACAGTGCAGTGCTGCAGGACAGGCCTAGAACCTAGCAACACAGATGCGGTTCTAAGGATTCCAGCAGGGGGTTGAAACAGCAACTCGTGCAAGAAACTTGTAATTAGTGGTTTATAGTCATACTCCAAGAGCAGTTCAAGAATGACTGAAGAGGTTTGGGTGACTATCACTACTTAACTACTTCACTTAACTTAACTTAACTACTTTCACTACTCTTTTGGGTTCAATCTTTGGGTGACTATCCTCCAATCTGAAGGTTTACTGCCCTTTTCAGGTCGATCTGAGTTCCAAGCATGTCGTTCAGGCGTCGTCCATCGAAGCCGCCCAGGATGTACATGAAGCCCTGGCGTCTCGAATCGCGGCGTCTCGAATCACAGGAATTCCGACGCTACGTCGCGTGGGATTCGCATGGGAAGCGTTTCTTTGGGACGTGTGATGAAGACGAAAACGAGGAATGGCTCAACCTCCACTCACCTGGGGAAAAAAGGGAGGTTGACCTACACCATGTTTGGGCAGACCCACTCTTTGCAGCATGCGAAACGTTTTTTTACTTGACATGGTCTCCTGGTCTACAGTCTACCCACGTCTATTCGTCCACGCTTGGTCTCATGTCCGCAGCTTGGTCGGTCTTCGATGGCCGCAAAAACCGTCCTTCCGACCGCCCGTTTCGTTTGCTCCTCACCTCATGGACAACGGTTTTGTGGAACGTCCGGGCAGATGGCTGCACAGACAACGTGGACACCTGATCTCAGAGGTCTGGCAGAAGTTCGGGCACAGGCGCCAGTCACCTGTGAAATCAGTCATGTCGCCCAGTCTGACAGCCCAACATGACCCCAGTCACGGATCCGGAAGGTTTGAACGGTTTGGAGATGTGCTGTGTGCAGCGATGTGCTGTGTGTGACAGAGTTCGAAAGGTCGGACACCGACACCGTCCGCCTTGGACCAATGTCGATGGGAGAAGCTGTACCTGGGCGAAGGGGCCCCGGTTTCGCTGCGCTGCCAGGCAGCGAAGTTGAAGGGTGACACAGTGACACAGGGCGTTTTCGTGCCCATGGAGAATCATAGATACACTATGATACACTTAGAGTCACTTCATGCATCCTCATGCCTCATACACTTCGCCTGATGAAGCATCATCACTGCCACAGAGATCTCTACCAACTGCACCCACTTCTCAAAGACTTCACCCCCATTCGCTCTTGGGAGCGTCTTTCTACATGGCCCGGCACGGTCGTGCGGCGCTCCGAGTCCTCCGAGCTCCGATGCGGCTCGCGCACTCGTGCAGGTCTGGAAAGCGGTACTGCGTCTTGTCCACGCCCCCGAAGGTGAACATCTGAGCTCCGACCGCACCGGTTCCACGGAGGCCCTTTTTGTTCGACGCAGCGGCGTTTGTTCGGCGCGCAGATTGGCAACGTGAAAAATGACACACCGTTTTGGAGCTCGCACACATGATACTCCAAACACCTTGAGGCAAACACTGCGTCACCACAAACCACTGCAGTGTGCCGATAACGTGCCTCAGCAAAAGGCGGAGGCGGGCGACAATGGGACACGAAGGAGTCTTGTGGGGGTGACTCGGCCCAGATCTTGGCATTGTTCTCGAGGTTCCTATCCCAACCCAGAAGATACGCGCATGATTGATATGTGGTCGTCAAAAAGGAAGAAGTAGAAGGTCCAGATCAGTTCAAATGACTACTATCCCGGATGAACTGTCAATGTACCGTTTGTTTTTTGTGGTATTATATGGTATTAGATATATAATCATTCTTGTCAAACAACAGGGCATGCTTGATTCAAGCGTTTGAAGCCAACACAGTCGATTTCGTGATCCAGTAAACAACCAGGATTCCAGGATTCCATGCTTCAACTATAAATACGTTCATTGATTACAGTGCTGTAAAGCGCGTGATCATCACGTGCTACATCTCAAGGACTCGATAGACCATGCGAAGCCTGCTTCAGCTTGCATCAACTAGACTAGCACTCTTCTTGGACACATCATCTGGCTGTCAGTAGCCAAATCCCCAACATACCTGGAACTCGTGGTTGTTCTCTCCGTTGTCTTGGCCCTGTGAACTGCACGTACCAGGTACCCTTGCTTTCATCTCACCCAGCAACGCTGTGACATTCAAATCGTCGATATGCGTCCATGAGTTCATTCGTATGCAGGGGCCCCGCCCCCCGTGCGTCAAACGGTGCGTTCGGCCAGGCCATCGAATGCAACAAAAAACACAGTGCGACCCTTCAAAACCTGCTTTTCGTGCAACCAAAAGAACGAGGCCCAGCTTGGCCTCTCCTCTCTTCGCTTGGGAGACCCGGCTCTTGGAGCTGTTCCCCGCATTGGCAACCTCAGCACATGAGATCTCGCCATTGCTTGTCCCACAGAGAGGAAATCGTTCGCAGTCGGGTACTTCTGGATCTGGAAAACGCACCACAGAACGTGGTGCCTGCCTTTATCTTGCCTAGAATCTTTGAATTTTCAGAAGAGCCAATGGTAGCTAACTGAGACCAGATCTATTAAAATTGTGATGCCCATCAAAACAGTGGTGGACATTTGGGTGACAGCACAAAAGCACAAAGATCCAGATCGTGCAAACTGATTGGAAGCTGCGACTGTACTATGCTTGAATGAAGAGATCAGTCGCAGCTTAACATTGAGAACTGTCCCTGTTCTTTTCTATGGCGTGGTATGCAAACGATGCTGTTCAACGTCGCTGCCATGTGTGTGTGTGTGTATTTATTGTGGGCTTAGGACGGCACTGGATCCACATGTTTGATGAGATGTTGTACTCAAAGAGCTCCTGGTCAAGAGCTTGTTCAATGGCCCGTCCACCGAAACAGATATGATAAACTCTTCAAACGAACAGCTCGAAGCACAAGATCACGAGATCTATATACATATTCCCGGAGATTCTACCTTGCAGCAGTTACTCGCGAAGAATTGACCAGGGCAGTAGGTCGAACCCTACCTAGTGAACATCCCCAATGAACAAACAACGCAAACTTCGAGCTTCCAAGGATCCCGTCTGGTTTGAGGGTTCCTGCTTTTAACATCAGCATCTGGCCTCGCCTGCAATGTGTCATGACCGTCCCATCCACCAAAAATGTACATGGAGTGGCCATAGATCACTGCCTGGGAGCCGCAAGCCGCAAAGGTTGCCGGTCCAGCGTCAGGCGTTGGGAGGGATCAAAAGCTCCTGGCCTTTTGATTCTGGGGTCTGAAGCCTCTAGGCTCTTGACTAGGTCCCCTCACCTCGAATGGTGGATGCTGACGGTTAGTAAGGGGATGTTTAAACCACTGTTTTACTGCCTGCTGGTGGCAATGCGGCAACGTGAACTGATGACATCCATTGCTGAGGATTGACATGAGCATGTCGCTGTTAAACTGGGTCATGGAGTTGAGTGTCTCCCGGTGCCTAACTGTGAGTGTCGCTATCAGCAAACATCTTGTGTTGTGTTCCAAGGACCATCTGCCAATCCCCGTTCTGTACAACAATCAGGCCATAACATTGAGAACAAGACTACGTATACAGACGATCTAAAAAAACGCCTGACTCCTGACTTCTGACTCCGCCGTTGTTCAAAATGCAGCACGGTGTTTTGCCGTGAAAAGCGAACCCAGCCGCTGGGCTGGCCCGGGCGGTGTGTCCAAAGCGGTTCCGCGGGACCTGACTGCGAACCTGGTGGAAGCCGGGGAAGGTGGGGGGCGGCGACGCACCTGCAGGGAGAAGAATGCAGGGTATATAGTCCAGTACTCGCTTTTAGGGGAAGGGGTCCCAAGACAAGAACACTGGTAATCTTTTAACTTGAAAGGACTTGGACCACGATTGGTCAATGATTATCATGTGATCATGTTGGAAAAGGCTATTGGACACTTGGTGGAGCAACGCACGTGCGTTGCACAATTGTGCCGCATGGCTTTGTTTGAAAAGAAGACCCTTAGCAAAAGAGAAAATGGATCCCAGCCCACAGTGCTCCTAAACCATCAGTCCCCTGAGTGGACGTCCATATTGGTCTGACGCCCAGTCGTCTGGGCTGCCACACACTCACCTGACTCCATCGCTTGTCCTTGAGGTGTAGCTCGCGAAGATCATTAAACCTGGCGAAGGAAGGGGATCATGCGATGGCGGGATCGCTCCGAGCGGTATTGTCCCACAGTTGCTCGTCCTCAGAATCGCTCCTGGCTGCCATTCCATCTTTCCTTTGGTTCCACTTCAGGGCGAGCGGTATGCTCGGAAACCATCGAAGGAACAGAACTGAAACCGACCAAGCACTGAGACCAAACCAAGCCACTCAAGCTAACCACCTTCCAAACGAGGATCTCTTCCTCCAAGCCCTGCTTGGCTCCCGGCCTGTTATGCCCATCGAAGCCTCCAAAGACCAGCAAGGAGTCGCGGAAAAGCACCACGCTATGGTCTGTTCGCTTGGAGGGCGCCTCGCCCAAGGTGTGCACCTCAGGGTGTCCGAAGCCGGAACTTCTCGTGGAAATCCACGCCAAGCGGGTTCTTGGAACCCCGGCCGAGCCCCACATGCTGGTCGCAATCTCGTACTTGTAGACATCATTGAAGTAGTCACCGTCCTGGCGACTACTTCTCCAAAGTCGACATCATAGAACCCAGACATGGCCCCAAACGTTGATAGGAAGTGTGACCCAATTTTTGGGTGGTCAGTCTTCATAAAAACATGGAGTCCTTCGCGCCAGAAACAGAATGTTTTTCATGCATGAAACAAACCGCTCGGAGCACTCCCCAAGTGGTTGGGTAGATACTGGGATTGACATCCGAAGGAGTCCGAAGGAGCTCGTGGAAGGCACCAGATCGCGGGCCATACATCTGCACCTTTTTGCGGCCGTGCCGTGCTCGGAAAGCACTGCTCGTGCAAGCAGAGGCCCACTCACACCTCAGTGATAAACAGGGAACAGTGATCTAGCCAAGATAGGTAGGGTCTTCTGAAAAAAAGAAATAAAGCAATAATAAATAAACAAAACAAAAAAGCTCTTCCCAGGGCTTTGATAGTACTCGTTGACCCTAAACACTCCATAACTTGCTTGGATTCAAAATTGCAAGCTTCTAAAATGAATTTGAGAAAGGGGTCACACAAACCTCACTGTCACACCCGCGTTCTGAACCAAGAGATGCATGTGTCGTTCCGGTCAGCCCTGCTGAGTGCCCCAGACTGGCAACTCCTTCAGGGAGTCCAGGCTGGCCATGCCACATCTGAATGGCCTCACGGTGGATCCCCAGAGACAAGCCCGGCAGTCTCTGTCACCAACGTGACATGCTGATCACCAGCCGTTGACCTTCCTTCAGAATGCCTCATAGAATAGAGCTCTGTTTTTTGTGTATCCATCCCTGGTGGCCACCCATGATCAAGGCCTTGAAAAAAGGAATGCGCCTCTACAGCCATTTATGGCTTTCTTTCCTGTTTCTTGCATGTTCTTTTTTATCTGCATACAGCTCAAGTTGTGCTAACCACTGCCTCTATAAGGGGGCAGCACTGCCGGCGCCACAGTACGCCTTAGCTGACAGCATCGGGAGTGGAAGGTTAGGCACCTTACTACTAGTAGCAAGAAGCTTTACTAGGTTGGAGGCCATCGCTACTAGGGGTGGAGGCCATCGCTACTAGTAACAAGAAGCTACTAGTAGCAAACCAAACCAGTTTGGGTCGGCCCCGCCTAGTTCAATACGACGGTGAAGGGGAAGGGAGACACCATCCCCACTGGGTTGATGTAACCACAGATCTTGTCACTCAATATGGTCCGCATCCCAAAAATGAGGAGCCACATCCACCGAGTCTGCTCGGCAAAATTGGTGAGCAAAACGTCTTCATAATCTGCTGTACCCGGTGTCCGAGGTGCCAAACCCGATCCTCGGTGTGTGCTTTTTCCTGAAACAGAGGGGAAAGTTCGGGAGAACGCACCATTCGGGAGACGTGACGAACAGGAAGATCCAATGTGGTACCATGATCATCCATCTACAGAATTGAGAATGCTTAAGGCTTAAGTGATGTTCTTGAAAATCTGTAGATTGGAACCGCTCCTGCTCCTTGCACCATATCGACCGTCAATGATCCTTCACGTGATCGCTGCTCGTGTTCACTCGCTGCTCGTGCGATCCGAACGCGCGGTGCATGGTGCGCCCGGCGTGGTCATCCGATGGGTTGTGGAGTACAACCTGTGCGGTGCCTCTCAAACTCACAGGTAGGTCCGGTAGGTTGTTTGCCACCCATGCTGAATCTGCTTTCTCTGGATCCAACCCGCCAACGTCACATTGTTGCAGGAAGGTAGGAGACTTGCAAGCGTGGAACCCTCTGACATTCGGTGATTTCGCTCTGTCGAAGTCCATGAAGAACCCGCCCTGTCCATCCCTGGAGCTCTGGTCACCGATGTCATCGATGTCACCGGTGTTCCTCGATCAGCCCGGGGGTCCGGGCGTTGTAAAAGAGAGAAACAGTCGTGTTGCTGCAACCTCAGCAAGACTGAACAGTCGTGTTGTCTTGTGATGTGTTAAAATAAAGGAAAGCAAGTCTGATGACCAGTGCTTCTCATTTTGCAAGTCTGATGACATCTGCTCATTTTGCTTTTTCTCGAAGCTGTACTTCCACAACGGGTGAGTGTCCAGGACATTTCTCTCCACTCCAGCAGTTTTCCCCAGAGATGCTTGGAAACTGTGACCATCTCGCTTGTGACGACTCATCCATCAACCAACAGGGCAGTCAGTCGTCCATCTTTCCAAGGCTCCCCTGCAAAGCAAACGCTGCCAACTGCTCTTCAAACCTGCTCTTCACACGACAAGTGTGGGCTGTGTGAGCTGGTGACAGCTCTGCCAAACTCTGCCAGGCTCTGCCAGGCTCCAAGAGCTCTGTCTGCATCTGTGCATGAAAAATGAACTGATTCCTCAAGAAAGGGATGTCAACCTTCCATGTTCTTTGTTTTCGGTACTGCTTTAGGCCCAGCTCAAGCTCACTCAGCTCAGTCAGCTCTCCGGCCTCGAAGCTCTCAGCACCTCCCCTTCGGTCCCATCGGTGCCTTGGGCCATGGCGAACGAACCGGTGGCATCGACCGACCCGAACCGAACGAACCGCGGCGCCATCGGTGCCATCGGGCCATGCCCTGGTGATCTTGCATCTGCGGAAGCCCCAATGGTCGACCCATCATTCCCATCATGTGGAGCCATGGCTAAGCTCAACGGGACCTGTGGTGGCTACGGCTGAGATCCTGGCTCAAAGAGCCTCTGGCATGCCAGAGACCTCATGGCCACACGAGGTGAGTGGTTAGTGATGCACCAAATCTAAAACCTGCTAAGTCCAGAAATCTTCATTGGCCAAGGAATCTGGGGCTGGCTCTCTCTCTCTCTCTACTCTATTATTGAAACAGACCACACCGAATACTCCAGCAATGCGAGTGGTGATTTAGATTATGAACGAAGACAGTTAATGATCAATGACTTCCGAGTTGGACAAATGGCCAATTCTCCAGCTCATGTCTAATCTTGGGAGCTGTTCTTTTGAGAGAAGCTGGAGTGACAACTCCAAAAAGCTCTTGCGCTTCATGCCTGCTGCAAGTAAATTCAGGAGAATTCGGGTCCAAGGTCCATGACTCCTTTCCTGAGCGCAGCCCAGCACCCCAAGCACATCTGCACATCTGCACTTCGGGTGGAACTAAGAAAATAGAACAACATCTCATCGATTCTGAATCGCACCTTTCCCGCTTACACGGCCTATACTTACTTCATGTCGGAAGCTTTTCATGAAGCAATCTCCCGCTCCACCGGATGTGAGGATAATGCTGGAATGAGCTAAGCTGCGATGAACTGAGGTGATGATGACAAGTAAAACTCATTCTTTGAAAGAGGGAAAAGGAGACGAAGCACCCGTGAGATATGATCTAGCCGGCCTTAGAAGCAGAAGGAAAAGGAAAGGAGCCTTAAAAGCGGCAGACCCTGTTGTGCTGCCCTTACCATTAGCTTTTGTAACCCTGGAGGGACCCCAGCGAACCGCTAGGTGAGCTGGACTGACACGCACCCGGAAAGACAAAATCATCCTTGAGGGGACTATGTCCTACTTCCACAGAATGAGTCCAGAGGCATCCAAAGGCCATGCCGTTCCTGGTGCATAGCTCCGTCTCCCACCCTACAGACAGGGTGCGGAGGCTACGAGGACGGCGATGTGGGCCACCAAGTCCGGGGCTAGACCATGGCCTCACAACGAGCGAAGGCCAGTCATCAACCTTTCGGCATCCCTCCCAGGGTCATTAGGTTGGAGGCCATCGCTCTTAGGTTGGAGGCCACCCCTATTGGGTTGGAGGCGCCATTGCTATGAGGTTGGAGGCGCCATTGCTATCAGGTTGGAGGCTATCCCTCCCAGTCATCACCCTTTCACACACCCTGGTGTAGTGATTCCAGTGTGCACTTTGGATGGCGGACGGACAGTAGTTTGGTGGGTTTAACGACCCCAAGCGTCCGAGCATGTGCTGGCTGTTGTGCGTCACCGCCTTCCAAGGTGTGATCGCTTCGAGCTTCGATCGAAGGCTTTTGCCGCACACCACGCGGCTTTGGAAGCCGCAACGGGCCGGGCGTGGGGCGTGTATGGAAACACATGCATACAGATCCCAGATCCCAACAGATTCCAACAGAAACACCTCTTTTTGCACCAGAAAAAAACAGGTGTTTCAGCTCTTCTCTTCCCGGTTTTCTCTGCCCCAGCGGACGCTGGGTCATAATTCATTAGAACATTTAAATCATCAAATAAATCAATTTCAAAATCTACACTTTACATAATATAGTATTATGTTCAAATAATATTTAAAAAATGACAGCAACTTTACAAAATGTAAATCCATATCCAAAATATGGACTTCGCAGAAGACCCACCTATAGTGAAATAATAGGTCTCATTGATGAAAATGAAAAAATAACAGGTGCATTACCAAATAGGGATGTGTCATTCTTTAAGAACAGTCCAGAGGGTAGTTTCTTTGATGGTAGTTTCTTTGGTGGTAGTGATGCTATGGAATTATTGAAGGAGGAACAGGGTAGATTGTTATTGAGGGGAATGTCAGAAATCTGACCAAGACAAAACAGTAGGACAGCAGGAAGAACCTACCATTCAGACAGGATACTAATGCCCACAACATCACCCACCATAACTGAAACAAGCCAACCAATGGATGTAGAAGAGCAACCACTACCATATCATACTCCAACACCGTCACCAGCAACACACCAAGCATCACATTTAAACGCAGAACTAGAACAAAGAAGGAACACAGCAACAAAGAGAAGTCAAGATGTATGTATGAACCATCGGGGATAAATGGTTAAGCAACACAAACCAACAATCACTGAACAAATACATCACATCAACCCACCAAGAAGTCTTGCACCCATCCGACCTGAAAATGACCATATGTCCAAATGCGACCACTTAATGACGTGGCTAGTTCTGGCACTCAACCACCGGTGATGTTTCTAAGAGGTGTTCCGAACTTCACTGAAGGGAAGATATACAAGAGGCAAGACCCAGAGAGTGCCATTGAACCAAGCAGCAAAGCAGGAAGACCCAAAATTAGATACACTGACACCAGACCAGATGCTGAAGAAAAGGGATGGGTCAAGTCCAGAAGACTGTGTACTTTCAATGTCTTTTCATCTCTGAAAGGGTCAAGGCAATGATTTCAGGTACGAATATTGTTTTGTCTCTTGGTAATTTGTCTTCCCATCAGTCTGCTATCATCTTTGATGAATACATAAAGGAAGTTATCATGTTCTCCTTCTTCTTCAATTTTGAATAACTTTATGTGATGCGTTGCTTTTGTCGCTTTGGTGTTTCTATATATAAAATGATGTCTTGATTTTCCAGATCCTTACTTATCTAAAACACATTGACTGATAATAAACCTTGGTTGTTTTCTTCCAAAATCTCTATGTCAATGTTTGATGATGGAAACTTTACATTAAACCCAGTTAATAGTCTCGCGTATTCCTCAGCGCGTCTCGTTGGCGCTCACCTCTTCAATTTTCTTGTAACAGTTCATTCTACAGCCGTGTCCCTTCTCATAGATTTAAAAAACTCCGCGTTTGATACAATGCTTGAAACATTGGTTGTCTTCATTCTGAATGTTGATACACGCTTTCTTGTCTTGTATCCACTTTGGGAGTTCAATGAATGAACAACCCCTTGTTGGATTGTATTTGTCAAAGTTTATTCTAATCTTGTCAAATTGATTGAGTATTAAACCACTTCTGTTGAGTTCAATTTTATCAAATTGAAATTCAATGTCAGCTGCCACTTGGGATAATATGTTTGGTATATCTTCAATGTTGGTCACCTCATATCTTCTACTGCTTATTACCTTTGTAGTGTTCTCATCAGTGACTTTGTCCTTGAAAGTGCCGAATGTATCAACAATCAGTTTCATTCCCTTATTCTGTTGTAAAAACTCCTTCATTGTGCCTTCTTGGTATTTTAAGTATTGAAGTGCTTTGATGCCTTTTACTTTGATGTCACCGGTGGAGTAACTGAAGGCTGATTGGTCTTCACCTACTCTTGCTTTGTATCTTGTTTGAATACCTGTTAATGCTTTGTTCTTGTCTAGTCTGACCCATCTAGCATCTCTCTTTTGTTCTAATTCATATCTCTTGTAATCATTGGTTTTCCTGACTTCTTTGAGTTTGTTGGCAAGTCTGTCCGTTGATGGTTTGTTTCTATCATAGTTGTAGGACTTCTCACCTATCTTAAGTTTCTTTCTTACCACTTCTCCCTGTTGGGAGGTTAGTAGATAATCCAGCGCTGACTGGTCTATATCTGAGGCCAAATAATTTGATCCTATATTAGTTAAGTGTATTTAAGTAGTTTTTGTCTTCCTGTCTGGGGTTGAGGACTTGTGGAATTGGGTTGAAAATGAACGGATAAACATTGTCAACAACCTTTGACATTGATGTTGATAAAAATTTTCAGCAACGGTTTGAATGTTTCTTGCAAATACTAGTGTTTCTATGCGTTGAAAGGTTGGATTTGCGTGATATTGTCTTTCCGCAGTCAGGGCAGGTTATGGGTGTTGATAGATTTTGTTGATAATGTTTCTTGAAATAGTCTTCATCTAGCGGTTTCTTGTTGTAACTGCCGCCTGGATTTCTTCTTGTCATTTTTGCCGTTGGAGTTGTTGATGGGGTTTCAGTATTCAATGCTTGAACCATTGCATCAAAGACATCATCAGTCACTTCTTGATGAATGCCATCCCATATAGCAGGGCATAATCACTTTATTCTATAAGGCGTCATGTCCTTAAGTGTTTTTTTAGGTTGGTGTTTGGATTTGATCTTCGGTTGATGTTTGGTTTTGGTCATTGGGGACTTTCCGTCGCGAATGCTCGCGAGGCTCTGCCGAGCGGCTGCCAAGAAATCTGACCGCCTGCCATTGAACACACCTTTACCTGCCAAGAAATCTGATATGAACGGGTATGGGATGATGTGAGATGAGTTCGTTTGTGGGATGATGGATGAATTGTTTGGGTTGCTCTGTTTGGGAGGTGTTCATCTTTTCTATATCCCCAACCAATGTTTCAATCCTAACCGCTGGGGTCAGTGGTTAGTTGCTTCATTCACCAATCTTGTAAGCATCTTTCAACCGGACGCTAATGACTATATAAAATGTTGTCTCCCTGAAAAGGGAGAGTGTTTGTCCCAGTGTTTGATGTTGGGTTGTTTAGGCGAATTTACACAGCATGACCCAACCAAAGAAATTCTGTGTAAATCCCACCCATAGGTCTAACTTCCTAGACTATCCCCTCTAGTTCAACAAGTCTACTGTATATTGGTCACCACTGAGGAGGTCTGCCTTCTCCTAAACCACAATCGCTCCCTCCATCAGTGAGCCATTATAGTTGCCACTGATGTTTTTATTGAACCCTTCTCCACTTCAACCCTTCTGGAAGTTCTCTTCGGTGATGTCTTCTTGACCTCAATGCAGACAAGATGGCCAAACCGATGTCAAGGGCAGTCAGGGTTGGTTGAACAAAGGTCTCAACAAATCACTCAAACAATGCTTGTGGCATATTTGCTTGATGAGACTGCGCGAAACAATTTGCAAAGTCACTCCTTCTCACACCTTGCATTGACTGGAAGAAAACACTAGCGCAAAACTCTGACTGACATCAACAGTAGGAGGCAAAGCTGCAAACATCAAAATGTACCTGCATTGATTTTTAGGCAGCGCTCCATTGTCAATAAGCTTCTGCAACCCAGCCATCTGACAACCACAGATGGTGAGGGTTAAATCGCTGATCTAGCAAGTCTTAAAGTCTGCAACCCAGCCATCTGTCAACTACTGTACAAACGATGAGGGCTCAAGCTTGAACTAGCGAGTCTGGAACAGGTTAACCCGATGCTAGCATCTAGAGGAGACAGCACTGAAACAGCCAGAGTCTTTGATGGTGGCTCATCAACTAGTCAAAACCCAGCTCATCAAGCCCGGCTATTCATAGATTGTTTCTCTGCCATCTGCCAACTGCCAACTGCCCCGATGTTTGATCCAGTTGCATTCTGGTCCACCGTGCAAGTCTGGGACATTCTGGTTCTGCGATGTGGGAGGCTGAGGTTTAGCTTGTTGTTGGAATGTCCATGTCCCATCATCTTGGACGGTCCAAAGACCTTCCGGTCCTCCGTGCAACTCTGGGACAGGCTGGTTCCGCGATGTCTTGGACACTACCTGGTCAGCTGGCTGCTCGTCCACCCACTTACCCTGCTTTTTCGAATAGCGCTTTGGTGAAGAAGCACTCACGTCCTGCGTTGTTGCAGGCTCCGACTGTTGGACTTCATTTGGGAGAACCCAGCTTGGCTGCTGTTCATGTTCTTGATGCGTAGATCTTGCACTCAGTGTCGAAGGCATAGTGGTGGACAGCTCTGGCGGCATCATGGACAATCTACAAGCCGGACAAGCTTTCAAACTTGCTGGGATTTCAGTGCCCAAAACGGCTACAAAATCAATCCTTCAGTCCCACTATCAGAAGGGAGAACGCAAATGGCAATTTGTCTGAATTCCATCGCAGTCAGACTTCCTCTTTCCCATCAATCTCATTTGGACGGAAGCATGCTTGCAAAATGATTGACACACCCAAGTCGTCAATATTCTGCCTGCAAACATGGCAGCTGAGTGCCCGACCAGTCGAAAGAAGTTGAGGACGAAGTCGCAGCCAGTGAGGAGTTAGAGAGGCAGAAACCAAGAAACACCAAGAACAAATGCAACAAACTATATCATAACTACAACCCACAAAATCTTGCAACATATAACTACAGTATACTTGCAACCTATGAACCTGTAAAAATGAAACAACAAAAAAAGAGAACACGAAGGAGAAAAATAAATGATACCAAAAAGGAGAAGATTAATGAGGAAAAAGATACAAAAAAAAGTTTAGAAAATGTGCGAAAACGGATGAGGGTCAAAAACCAGAAACAAAAGGGGGATAACAAAAAACAAGAAGAGGTGAAAGATTGAAAAGTTTTAGGGAAAATCCCCAGAAACAACCCCAGAAAAAGAAGTGAAAGGAGAGGAAGACAGGATGAAGAGCAACATCAAGCCGTAAAAGGATAACAACAAACATCCCGCCCAGAACCATCCTCATTAATTACCATGTTTTTGATATTATGGGGGGAACTGGGTTGGGGGATGGGGTTGGGGTCAGTTTGCCTTCAGTTCAGCTAGGTCAGGTAGTTTCGCTGCCTATGTTGGCATATGCAGAGCTTGGCTTGCATGGACGAAATGTATCAGAAACTACCCTAAGACACTACGAGCATCATGAGATCGCAATTAGGACCTAACTGGCCTAACTATAACACACAGTAAGACAACCATGGATGTACCGTACCACATGCTGCCAGGATAAACTGAGTTTGGCTTTAAAAGTTCCACCCTCATTTTTTGTTGCAGTGCTGTTACAATGCTTGGACGATTTCGGATCTGCATCCAACTTTCCGTAATCAACATGCAACCGGCACCGCATCCGGGCCCCAGCCATCTCCATCACACAATCCAAATTCCTCACAGCTCCTCAGTTCTCGGATCCGCTCTTTCTCTCTGCGTTTTCGCTTCGTCTGGGCGCGTCCGACGGGGCATCTCTTCCCCCAGGAGCCACAGCGCGCGTGCCTCGCGCACCGGCGACCGGCGGCCGCGAGGCGAGTCGCGACCCAAACTGAGGTCGCGGACCCACTGGTGCCCCAAACCTGGGAGGCGAGGATCGTCCTGGTGTGCGCTACCCCGTCCAAGCACTGCGGACCACTTTGGATGGCCAAAAAGGGAAGTCTGCTCAGAGGGGGTTGGCTGCAATGCACAAACCAACGAAAGAACAAAGCCACAAAATGAAGAACATGTCGAAAACCTTGCCGGCAGAACGACAGGCTTGTAGTGCAGCTCCAAAGCACACAGCGTTTGGCAGAGGATCTCTTGCACTCAGTGGGGATAGCCTCAGGTTCATCAGCCTTTTGAAGTGTTTTCAGTCAGAAAATGGTCCAGTGAAATGAAGAACACGGCCACATTTCAATCAGAATGAAGTTGTGTTTCCGCATCTTTGTATTATTTAGTCGAACCGCACGAACATCACCCAGACGCATGTACTGTCAAAACACTAAGATAAGCGTTCCATCTCTTAAGAGGCATGCAATCTCAGGGCCCACGACCATTGAAACGCCTCGGACAAAGGCGGGCGCTGCGAGTTCCGCGTCGTTTCGGTGTCCACGCGGTCTGGCAAATGCTTCGAGGACGGCCAGATTGCGCGCAGCAAGTGGCACACACTCCGCGTGCAGCGGCGGCCAGATTGGGGAGTTTCGAAGTTCTGGTTGTACGGTTCAATGTCTTGTCAAAGGAATGAACTGCTGGAGTGCAAACATTAAGAAGTTGAACGCCATAGCCAGACCTCTCTATGGCAACTGGAGTCTAAGCAGAGCGAAAGGGCTGTAACCCTTCAACCTTCGGTAATATCGAGGCACAACTGGTGAACAAGTCAGTTTCCCACACCCCTCACAGCCTCTGCACAAGCTGCAATTGCTGAAGCACGCAACACAACTCCACGCTGACCTCCCAGGTAGGCCTCGCACGTTTCTCCAGGCCGCTGCGTGTGAGGCACGACCCACAGGGCGTGTAGCAGCTCTTCAAGAGTGCACAACCCAGCAAAAGCAAAGAGGTTAAGTGCACAGAGCAAGACCAAACCTCAGTGGGGGACATCTGTCTTTGACTCCCTTCACGTTAGGGTTCCAAATCCTTCACGTTGGGGACCAGGTGTGGAAAGCCACATGTCCATGCGCAGCAAGCTGCAAGGGGTGCAGAATCTCAGGCTAAACAGCTCAAACCTGCCCCCGCCTGGCGAATCACGTGCAAGGCCTGGCCCCCAAAAGGATTCGGTGTTTCTGCAAACCAGACACGAAAGGGAGAATCTTCACCTAGGAAAGGGTTACATTCTTGACAATTGACAAACCCACAGACACACAGCCACGAAAAGATCCCCAGTCAGGCCCAGAAGAGTATCAAACACACCTGCTCCCAAAGTGCTGCATGTTGGCAAGCCGCCAGGACAGCACCTCACTATGAAAGCAGAAGACCAGAAGACCTCTTCTTTCCTCACACGAGCATCGGAGAGGCCCCAGCCTGTGTTGGGCTCCGGCCAAAGGGCAAAGGCCAAGTCCCATCGGGATGCCCGAACGCAGCCTGCCATGGCAGAACCTTGGAGCTAATCTCATGTGCAGCTGATCTCAGAGAAGAAGGACATATGGATCTTGAAAGGTCTCAATTTGGTCACGGCTAAACGAGTCTCAAATGTTTTGACTTTGCATCTTTTGCTTTAGAAAGTCTCGGCTTTCAAGCTGAAACTGCCAACTGGGGGCCTAGCTGCTGCAGGCCTCCTGTAATTGATTGCACACAAAAAAGAAAAACGTTGGCACTTGCTTGGGGCCAGAAAAATCGCGAACCACTACCACGAGTCTCAAGAACAGCAACCAATCGACTATCCACTGGTTGTCCAAGAAGACATGCCAGCATCGCATTGGCTTCAACCAAGGCATCCTTCATCCTGGCAAGAGCATCCCCGATTCGCATTTTCAGCTGAAACAGCTGGCGAATGCTGGCGATGGTGTCCTGCCAAGCAAAGACAGCGCCTGGCAAAGGCAGCACAAGACAAGCATGAAGTCAAGCATGTGTGTTCTGCGTGCGCAGGTGTGCGCACCGTGTCCGAAAGACTTGGCTTTTCAGTTTCGCCCAGAAAGGACATGTGGACATCCACGCAGTGGGCGGAAAACTGTTCAGTGCATCTGAGCTCAAAAATCGGCCATGGTGAACACAGAATGAAAGCCGGGCGCATGTGAGTTAAGCCAAAATAAGTAACTGCGCAACAACAGGACACATGCATCTAGTCAATCTAGTCATCCTGCAAGTTGCAAGGCATTCTTCGCCTGCGCCCAGTGATGTCCCCGCGAGGCTGCCGTGATCGCGGCTCCCCACAACGCGGCGCCTCAGGATGAGGATGGGCTAACCATGGCAGGGCTGAAAGCTCCAAAGGCCTCCAGCCACCGAAAACCATGGTACAAGTAGCTCCAGAGCCTGACAGGAGCTGCTTCAATTCCCTCCCTTTCAAAAGACACATGTCATACCAAGCATGAGGTGTAGCTCCAGGATTGGTCCGTCTTTTGTCAGGCTCTTTATGGGGCGATGTGCCCAGAAGAAATGAATCAGTTGGGCTCGCCTCTCTCCAACAAGAAGACATCGAAAACGCGTTTGCCTCGGATACCCAGCGTTGACCGTACTTGCCACAGGGATCGCTGCATTTCCCCTAGGGACTGTCCTGAACCTGAACTAAGCCCTTACTGTGTTTAATAAAGACAGGACAACAAAGGAACTGCCATCTCCTGGACGCTGGAAGCATAGCTAAGATAGCTTCAGTTGACACCTTGTGGAACTCTCTCCACACTGTCGACAGCTTCATCGAATGCTTCAGACGTTGGCCGCTGCCGCAAGGCTCGCTTCACCCACCTCCACAGACTGCCTCGGCGGGCTGGCTGGCTCCCAGCTGCTGGCTACGGAGGCTCCTGGGGCCTGGGCTGTTCCATCAAGGCCAGCAAAGCAGCTGCCTGGAGGGAAAAGCCAAACAGCCAAGCAGGGCCTAATGTAGACTCTTGATGAACAAAACCCCCCAGGCCTGAAGAGGACTTCCAATTCAAACGAGGAACATGAGGGTGGTGATTAATCAAGAGTTACATTACGGTTCATCCTTCACACCTTCCCTTGATTCCCTTTGCCTTCGGCCATAGTGAAGGGGATGCACATGCCGTCAAGGAGGTCCCACAAAGGGCAGGTGTCAGAAGGCGTGCACTCACTCCTTGGTGCAAAACCAAGTGGTGAACCACAGATGGGGTGGATGGTCATCTGTGTTCCAGGTGTCCAGTTCTATCTATCTCAGGAACCTTTTTACATGGCTTTTTCAAGTTAGGAGCTAGGAAAAGCTGAGATGTGAACCAATTTGTAGAAGAGCAAATGACACCTTGACCCCATGATGCTTTGGGCAGACTAGCACCGAAGGGCGATGCGCCCCCAATCAGTCGTGTCTGCAGCATGATTCATGATGATTCATGATCGTGCCTCCCATACATTTCGGCAAGCCGCCGCGGTAGCGCTTAGCATCACAGCATCACCTGCAACACTCAGCATCGCACAGCTAGCGGCATTGTGATAAGGAGGCTTGGTTTAGGGTACATACAGTAGCCCGACTGCTGGTCAAAGGACAAGTCCATGGCCGTATCTTACATCTCATATTCAGGCCTTTTAGCCACCTGAAGAGGTGAAAAATGACATGCTGAGTTCTGCCTGGATATCTTCGATGGTTCTTGTCGAAGAGTGCCACAGCATCTTCCCTGACCGAACATTGCCATGCTGCAGTGTGAGTTCACCAGAGAGCCTTACACACATTTACACCGAAATGTCTGTAAGTTTACAGTAAGCCTAGTGAGAGTGGTTGACCCAAAAGGAACGAATTAATCTAGAATCTAGAAAAAACATCCATCTACCATGGGACAGACTTGGGGTTTAGGTGCTCATCCACAGCCAAATACCTTGGAAATTGTTACCAATGCCCATAGCTCTTAACTGACCCTCCAATTGCTAATCCCAAAATAAGATAAAGCTCCAAAGGAATGTGTGTATATATTATGTGTGTAGTATGTATGTGTATATATATAACTATAATATGATACTATGCATAGTAGGCGAAATCCTATGGGTTGCGAGCCTCTAACTCTTCTAAGTTCCGCACCATCGAGCTACAGCAGCCAATGCACTGATCACAGCAGTGGCCGCCACGTGGTCAGGGGCGACTGAATATCGTGGGCGCATGGCATTGAAGAGATGAAGCGCTCTTCGCCATTCCTTGCCGTGGACGTCACCAATGGGGGGATTCATAAGATTAGATTCATCATCGAACATCTCGAAACCCTCCTCCCAGCCTTTGCCGTGAGTGTCTACGATGTTTGCGTGTTTGCTTTGTTATATTCATCCGGTTGTTGTTTGCTTTGTTATATTCATCCGGTTGTTGGATTACAAAGCAGTGACATGCCATTCCTAAAACAGCCAAGCGCTGCCACCCAAGCAATTCGCGCACGAGTGGGACAAACACAGTACAGAAATCAGCTCAATCAAGAGCCAGCCCAGAATTTAAGGCGTCGTCTGCTCCTTTGGCAAATGCATCAAGGACCTGACAAGTTCCAGCCCAATCCCACATCCACACAATGCTAGAAAGCAGACCGGATTGCCTGAGTCTCGAACAGCTCCAAAAGTGATCACGGAAGGTTGTGGTCCTCGTTGCTGCATAGTCCGCAGTAGCAACCTAGACTTCAGCAGGTAAGCCGGTAAGCCGCTAATGTCTCTCTTGTTAGATTGTCTGCTGACAAAAGCAGGAATCCTGAAGACAGTGAACCGAAAAGAATTCTGTCATGCTCAAATTCAGTTCATTCAGGAGCACATTGTTTCTTCTATGTTGGGCCAGGGGCACTTAAATTTGGGTCCTCCTTCCAGCAAGCTATGAGACCATTCACAACACTTGCTTCTCCAGCAAAGGTAAGCTTCTGACGCAGCACGTTGCCACTGAATTGCCCGAGCCTCACTTTCGGTGGTGAGTGGGTCTCATCAGATGTACATCCTCTGACACCCTTATGAAGCGCCACTCCACTCACATGCACGTGTCCACCCACCTCTATACAGGTCTATCCGCAACTGTTCTTCGCCTAGTTGACCGCCACTCATCTAACTAAGGCTGCAACGCAAGCAGAAATCGCCGGATTGCAGGGTGGACGAACTCAGGCAAAATGACACTGTCGGTGCACAAGCGTTTCGAGTTTTGTGTCTTGCTGCTTTGAGTCTTGTGAACCACGATGGCCTCCAACCTGGTAGCAAGGACCTCCAACCCTGTCGCGATGGCCTCCACCCTACTAGTGGTGACCTCAAACCTTGCGT